TTCTAATTTGGGTTAACTGCCTGTTTAACTTCACTACAATTTCCTATAAAACACAATAAAGAACACTGGGTCAATGGACCATAGTTTATTCGAAAGCAAAAACCGTGAAAATAATATGGGACGATTGAGAAGAGTGTCAAAAATCTCTGCAGTGACAGCAGCCAACTTTTCTGCCCTGAGGAGTTACGATGTGCATGGCTGTCACTTTTCCACCTCAATCTCCCTGACAATTCAAATCTGTGTAATTTTAGTTAATACAGTGATTCCACTCAGCTATGTCTGTCCAAGACAAAGCCAGAGGCAATGATGCTTCCTTTACCTCATAATCTCTCAGGTACAGTAACTGATAGTTGGATAACAAGGTCACACACTATTTTACATCTTCACTACTGCATGTAGACCTCCAGTGCGGTCATAACTGTCCTCTTAAAGCTATATTTTTAAAATACCTGCTGAACCTTCATAAGGCTTTAACAAAAGTTAAAACCATGTTTTTAACTCTTTCCTTTCATTGTGGTTTTCCTAACAGGCCTTGTTTTTCTTGCAGCAGTACTGACCTTGTAAATAACAATATACGGTAACGTAACCATACACTGCAGCTGTGTGACAGATAGGTCAAGGTGGGACAGGAGTGCTGCTCGGGCTGGTTTAACAGCTTCAGCTTTCAAGGAACAAACATGTTAGCAAGCTGCTGTTTAAGATATGACAATAAAATCTGCTATCAATCTGCTTCTTTGTGCAGAAGACAACATAGTAAAAGCTCCATCGTGTTAAAGATTTTCTTCTTATTATTTCGTATTATTTGAAAACATATGATTATATCAAAATACAACCAAACTTTGAATGAAAGTACTAAAATGTAATTTTGTAATAGTTTTGTTCTAATATTGTTCATGCATGTAGCGCGTGCCATCCATAGTTAGTTTTCAAGTTAAAATATGATGACAACATAGTAAGCAGAGGTAAAATTAATGGTTCAAAAACACTGTAATCATGGCCCCAAATGGGAACTATTAGGAAAAAAATCGCAGCTCAGGAGTACCCTTTTTCCATCAAATTAGCTCTCGTTCTTAAACTAGTTCTGTTCAGGATTTAACAACAGTCAACAATAAATAATCTTATTAGGAATAAACCAGCCTCCAGTGGGAACTTTCAACAGCTGAATACGGTCGGCCTATGCTGCAGTATTTTAAAGGTGAGACGTGGTGTAAAAAGTTTGAGAAACACTGTTCCAGAGGTTTGGAAATTAATGTTATCATAATCAGTAAATGTGTTTAAATAGTATATAAAAGAGTATTTGAAAATAAAGCCTGAAGGAGTTTTGCTGCAGACTCAGTTTTCTTCGTCCCT